CAGAAGAGAAGGTTAACAGTCTCTCCAATATTTTCTTTTGTCCAAATGCAATAGTTGTGACATGGAGGAACTCTATTCCATTTTCATCCATGGTTTCAATATGAAAATCATTACGATGTACATCCTTAAAACTTAGTAGATTTCAATTTGATCTACTAGAATATAGAGCGTTGTGTATTAATAATTTTGTTCCTCTAGGCAATAAGATACAAGCTTCTCCAGAGCTTTCAATCAACCTTGCCATACTAGATATTGTATGAACATTAGCATCAACTAACGTTAATTGAGAAAAATAATTGTTATTTCTCAAGATAGTATGTGTTGTGCCACTATCAACGAGACATAGGTCTCCATCATTCATCTTAGCATCATCTAAGTCCATTTGGTCTTAAATAAAGACAAATGGACCAGAAGAGACAAATATTCAATATATATATTCTGAAATGATTTATTCTTTTATTGAACATAAAAAGGAAATTACATATAAAAAAAGGGAAATAGCCATTTAGGGCAAATTATTTAAAAGGACATAATAAATCAAACTCTTGGTTGGGTATCACCAACACCATTAAGCTTTTCACCACCTTAAAAAAAATCAACATCAAGGTGTATATCAAGATTCACATTGTTATGCTCAATGAAATTCATTTTTGGATCATTTCCTTTTCCCTTTTCATTAAGTGAGGATTGGTAAAGATCAACCAAATGCCTAGTAGTGAGACAAGCATGCTCCCAATGTCCTTTTGCTCCACATCGACAACAAAAACTTTCAGGATATTTTGTAGGGTTCTTTTGTAAATTTCTACCCCTTACATCTTTTCTTTTATTTTTTTTAGCAAATTCAAATTTGGGGTTGAAACCATTGGAATACCAAGTATTATTTTGACTACGGGTACGCCCTCGGCCACGATTATTGTCATGATTACGACCACGGCAACAACAGCGACCACGCTCATTATTATTATATGAGGTTGCATTTGCCTCAAGTAATGGGGCTAAACCAGTAGGGCGTGATTGATGATTTTTCATCAAAAGTTCATTATTTTGTTAAGTGACAAGAAGACATAATATCAAATCTGAATATTTTTTAAAGTCACACCCTTGATATTATTACTAAAAGAGCAAATTCGAGGAATGAAAAGTGAAGAATGTTTTCTCCAACCTGTCTTCATCAATAATTTTTTCACTGCATAATTTTAATTGAGATGAAATGCGAAACACTACGGAGTTATACTCACTTACAGATTTAAAATCTTACAATTGCAAATGCATCCATTCATAACAAGCTTTTGGTAGTATCACCGATTTTTGGTGATCATATCTTTCTTTTAAATTCTGTCATAATTCAAATGGGTCTTTGACTGTTAAATATTCAGCCTTCAATCCTCATGGAGATGATGGCGAAGAAATATCAACGCTTTAGCATGATCTTGTAAGGATGTTTGATTTCATTTAACAATTGTTTCACCAAGATTATTTGCAGCCAAATGGATTTCAACATCAAGTATCAATGGCAAATAATTTGAGCCCGTTATATCAAAAGCAGCAAATTCAAGTTTTGTCAAGTTTGACATTGTGGCTACGAAAAATTTGTTAGATTAAAATCAAATTGAAATTAGAAAAACAAAGGATTACCTTAAGAGCTTACCACAAATTGAATGGTGGAGACTATCGTACTGATAACGTGTTATAAAATAAAAGGAGAAGTAGCAAGATGACAAACAAAAGAGAGTTTCTTATTTCTCAATGTACTTTTCCATGTACCCATAATACAAACTTGTAGGCCTATATATAGGTTAAGGAATATGTGGGAGTTACATTATCCATTGAATAAAACTAAATGAGAGAATGAATGACACATTAATGGACTCCTTAATGACCCTTTGAATGGTCTTTAGTGGGATTATGAATGGCCTTTAGTGGGGTCATAAATGGCCCTTAGTGGTGAGGAATTACCCTTTAATGGTGGGGAGTTACAACATGGAAGAAGATGAATGTGAAGGTGAAGCATCCACCAATAGGAAAAATTGGCAATACTCCCCCTTGGATGCTCACCTTTTTGTGTTATACATTTTTAAACTGCCTCATTAAAAACCTTGCTAGGAAAAACCTAATGGGATAATAACAATAGTGAAGGGAAAAAGAATGCAATACGTATAATACTTCCCCTCACTTGAACGAAGCTCTTTAAGGCGTCGCATGCTTATCTTGTGTACAAGTTGTTCAAAAACTTTTGTAGGCAAATGACCTTGTGAAAAGATCTGCAAAATTCTCATTTGAATTGATTTGCTGCACATCTATTTCACCAGCATTTTCAAGTTCATGTGTAAAGAAGAACTTTGGAGAAATATGTTTCGTTCTATCTCCTTTGATGAATCCTTCCTTTATTTGTGCAATGCATGCAATATTGTTCTCATATAATAAGGTCAGATTTCCTATAATTGCTTTAAGACCACATGTTTCTTGAACATGCTGGATCAAAGATCGTAACCATACACATTCATGACTTGCCTCATATAAGGTAATCAATTCTAAGTGATTTGAGGATGTGGCAACAATGGTCTATTTGGTTGAATGCCAAGAAATTGCAATACCACCATATGTGAACAAATATCTAGTTTATGATCCCCCTTTATGTGGATTAGACAAATATCCAACGTTTACATATCCAATTAACTTTAGTTTTGAGATTTTTGAGTAAAATAATCCCATGTATTTTGTTCCTTGAAGACAATGAAATAAATGTTTAATGTCATTCCAATGTTTTCATGTTGGTGTTGAACTATATCTTACTAACAAATTCACAGAAAATGCAATTTCAGGCCAGGTATTGTTAGTTAAATACATCAATGCACCTATGGCACTTAAATATGGTACTTAAATATGATACTTCAGGACCAAGAATTTCTTCGTTATCTTCATGAGGTCGAAAAGGGTTTTTCTTTACATCAATGGATCGAACAACCATTGGAGAGCTTAAAGGATGAAACTTGTCCATATTAAATCTCTTCAATATCTTTTCAACATAATTTAGTTGATGGACAAAAATTCCATTTGATAAGTGCTCAATTTGTAGATCAAGGCAAAATTTTGTTACTCCGAGATTTTCATCTCAAATTCTTTCTTTAAGCATTCAACTACTTTTTCAAGCTCTTTTGGTGTCCCAATGATATTTATATCATCAACATATACAGCAATGATAGCAAAACCAGGTTTTGACCTCTTGGTAAAGACACAAGGGCTAATAGGATTATTTTCATATCCTTCTTTTAGGAGATATTCACTTAGGCGATTGTACCACATTCGCCCTAATTGTTTCAACCCATACAAAGACCATCTTAAATTTATTGAAAATATCTCCCTTGGCATTGAGTTGTAGGCTTTAGGCATTTTAAGTCAAACAAGGACTTTCATATAAATGTCACTGTCAAGTGATCCATATAAGTAAGCAATTACAACATCATGAG